GTGAGATGTCAAGACAATATTTTCTAACTTTCTAAACTTCTCCAAGCATAACAATTTGACCCAGTTTGTTGAGTTAAAGCAGGAGCCTCAACATTTTTCACAGAGTGCCACTTAAAGTAGATAACAACCTGACCAGACTTCAATGGTCAGGTTGCTCTTTGATAAACTAAATAGAAAGATGGTGAACAGGTTTTTGATAGGTAAAATGACCAAAAATCTATTAACATGATTTTTTTTTTTTTTGTATAAAAATGTTAATTTTGGTAAATGGCTTTTGGTCAAACACGTTTGTTCCATCCATTCATTCCTCCCATTTTTGGTGAGATCCTAATTTTATCAGAGGAACCTGAAGAAGGAAACAAAACAAAGGCCAGTTTTGCATGCAAATAGCGCCCTCTCCTGTCAAAAAGAAATTACAATGACCTAAAACTAAACTTTCCCTCAAAGTTTACTTGTCCTGCAAGTAACTTTTACATGAGTGTCCATTAAAGTTAATTTTGCATATTCCTTATTAATTTGTATTTATTTTTGTCCCATTTTTTTACATTTCTAAGAAAAATGTGAAAACCAGTAAAAAGCAAGTGTCATTGTGCATAGGTGGTTCAACAGTGTTAGTTTAAGGGAGGGCATGCTCACGTAACAGCTTATTGTGCTTTTTTATTTTTTGCATTTTGTCCCCTTCTGACTAATTGGCTTGTTTTGTACAGGATAACTAGAATGTAACTTATGAGGACAAATTTTAAAAATAATTTAATGACAATCTCATTTTCTTACTTTACAAAAACCTGGCCTTGCAACAGAGGTGTGTATGTTTTTAAGAAACACTGTGCCTGTTTTATATAAAGTTTAGTTTTTGACTTCCACCCTGCAGATTTCTGCATCCCATATGCAAAACAGGAAACCATGGAACTGGTTCAAGGTTTGCTTCTAATCGGAACACGACGGAGGTAAAAGAAGGTCACAGTGGCCGTTTCTGTCAAAACAGACTACACAGTGTCACTGATCCGGCTAAGAGCTTCAGAGATAAAGAGAACGCTTCTTTAAATAGACCAAAGGAAAATCCAATCAGCTTAGCTGCACAGAACAAAGGCCAGACACAAGCTTGCAGAAGACATCTTGACCAGGTTCTGTTATTTTACTGTCGAAATGAGAACATGGAGTGTTTAACTGCGCTGGGTGACTTGAGAGGGTGACTCATAATTTGGTTTCCCCACAAAAACCAGTGCACACAAAAAATAAAATCCCCAACCTCCTTGTAATGTCTATTAGTAATCTAAAAGATGTCTGGCAGCTAAAAGACTGTAAACCAGAGTATCTGTTAAAGTTACCCAAGTGTGACAACACCCAAAGCTCTGCACCAACGCCTGATTTTCATCTGAAAAAATAAAACAAAACATATATGACTGCAGACACATCACCAGCGTTTTGTATTTGGTCTTTCTGAAAACCTCTAGAATCTTTTATAGTGAGCTATATCTTTATTATGTTGAGTGAGTACAATCTGTTGGCACAAAATTTTGTTTGGGTGGTGATGCTTTCATAAAAAAAAGAAAGAAAGAATAATAAAGTAAAAGAAAAAAAATAGCATGTAGTTCATGGTTCCATTTAAATGGGAGTGGATTTAAATGGTTTCATAAGATACTTTTGTGGAGCTTCTCAGAGATGATGGCTGTAACTGTTATCTGCGCAAACGGGAAGTGTTTCCCTAATCGTTATTAAGAGCGTTTAGCCTTGAGATCCAGGAAAGCCAGATTAACTTTTAGTGTCCTGATTTACCAAGGCATTCCTGCCTTAGAATACAGTCTTGAAATAAGTGTTATCTTTGAAAGGCATTTTAACTTTTTAATGAGAAATGGTTTTGCACATGTTTTGGCATTAACATGTTACCTCAAAATTTGATACCTCAAAAACAGCCAAAAAAATATATTTAACTTAAAAGTAAAAGGAAGGTCTCGTTTTGCATCCCAGGTTCTGTAAAAATGCAGCAGATCTCTCCATTGCATGTTATGCTTGGTGATGAAGGCTACTTCAGCACATGGACTGTTCGTACAGACATTACTGTTGTAATTGGTGTAGAACAGATTTTGGCATCAAATTGTTGCAACAAAAAGGCTCCACTGGAATACTACGCATGTTGCATCACACACTTTTGATTTTTGCCATAAATTGAAATTTTAACCTGTGGAAGTCAAACATGCTATGTTGCGTTTTATCTGCTTTTTTAATCATGTTACTGAGTAAAAGACAAAAGCATTTTTTTAACACTTTCAATATGGTCAGTTCTGAACTGAAACAGAACTGACCAGCGTCTTGCAGTTTGTGGGAGGTATTAGGCAACAAGAAAGCATTTCCTGTGTCAGGTTGCTTTTGGAAGCAGAAACAAAGTCCAGAAGGAAGGATTTGACTGCGCGACAAATTGTGATGATTAGACAGCTGTCATGGGATCTCTAAAAGTGCAGCACTTATAAGATTCTCTTGATTTTAAGGGGCATGAAGACGTATACCAGAATGAACGGTGAATATTGGGTCCCTGGGGAAAGAGGCTTCATGAATCTCACAAAGTAAAAACATGTGAATCTTCAGAAAATTAACACATTGAAAGCACCAGATGGCTACATCTCATGAGTTATGTTTTATTAAATCTGGTGAGTACTAAGTTTTTAAAAGTCAAAGGCCACATACATCAACAACCTGGCTCAGGTAAAAAAATATATTAGCATTCTGCTGTTAGAGCCATTTATGACATCATTCACATTAATTTACGAATGTTTCTTTTGGGTCGCCAGTGACCTACAAGTTAACAATATTCTCTTTGTAATGTGACATTTTCAAACAGGTTAATGCACTCTAATGAATGTTTGAGGAACCAAAATCAAGTCAGTTTATTGCCATGGTCTATAATTTCCATGCTTACCCAATTGTGGACCTTAGGGCACATTTGACCAGTGTTGTGGCTACACCTTGTCCAGAGTTCCCATCCGTACATTTCTCTGGCTGAGGGAGTCCACAAAAACATATTTCTCACTGAAGTTAGCTTAGATGATAATTCTAGTAAAATACCAAATACAAAAAGAACACAGAAACAAAGCAGATAAAAGATCTAAAAATAAATGGAATCATGTAAAGTGCTTAATCAAAACAGCAGGAAAGTCAGATTAACTTTTGTTAAAAGTCTCAGCCTTTTAACAACTAGAGGCAGAAAACTATGCAGCAGTCAGGGGGTTTCTGTTGATGCTGTGGTACCGTTTGCCTGGCAGCAGTTAAAAAAAAAACAAAAAAAGAAAACATCAAATAGAGGGTGGGAGGAATCTCTGACACTGTTCAATGTTATGTTGCTGCAAAGCGATCCTGCACACAGGGAACGGACACTACATCAGTCCTTTTGGCTCCCTTCATTAGTTTCCACAGAGGATTCTCGTCTGCCATATTGCTGCTGGAGGAGTTGATGCCAAGTAGTGTGCACTCAGGTCACAACCTCTTCATGTCAATGATCATCTCCTTTGTTTTGTCCAGAGTCATTAACTGCTGAACAACTTCTTTTTCCGGCGTTATCCTGAGCGCGCATTTGCTCCGAAAATTTAGCTTACAAATTTACAGTTTTCCCAGAGTTTCAGCTGCTTAACATTGTATTGCCTTTGTAATGTAAGAAAAATATACAGTTTTAAAAAACACTAATATAGTGCAATATAAGGTTCATGCTAGGAAAATGCAACTTTCAGTTAAAAATACACTTCATGTTACCTACAGCTGTTTCTTCTCTCTTGACTGCACATTTTTCACTGACCACTGAAAGGAATTATTAAAACAAGTTAAATAACTCAACTTCCCTTATTACTCCACCCCTTCTCAAACCATCTAATACAGATATACTCTTATCCGTGCCAAGGCAAGAGCCATGCCCAGGATGAGCTCTGCCTTTCTTGGCACGGAAACTTCATGTTTTATTTGCTTTAATGGGAAACACAAGATCTAAAAGTGCAGATAAACTATTTGCAGCTAATGAGAACAGTGAAAATATTCTGTTCTAGAAGCATAACAGTGATGGTAAAAAAAAAAAAAATGAAATGCCTCCTGCAACTTCCTTTCATTTCTCTTACTGCAATGAAATACTGTCTGGGTGTGCCGTTTTCTTCCTTAATCACTACATGTTCCAGCTCAAAGTAAGCAAAAATAATAATTGCCTTAGCTGCAGTGGATTGAATTCTACTGAACTCAGCTATGGTGCAAATCCATCAGGGTGAAAACACCTGAGCTGGAAGATAGTGATTTACTTGTTCAGCTGCTGAACAAGTAAATCACTGTTTTGTGACTTCACCCACAAAACAAGCTCAGAACCAAAAAAACTACTGAAGTTTTAAACATAAAACACAGTGCTGGATGAATTTGCAGACATCCCAAAGTATTCTCAAGCTAGAAGGGATATTTAGTGCCTTCGAAGAGTGCTGGTTCTGCCGCCGACTCTCCTGATCAGATGTCTGAATCACCTAAGCTGATTCATTCTGACGCGGAGGAACCGAGTCCGAACCCTGAGTTCTCCCAGATATTGGAGGTCCTCACCTCGTCTCTAAGATTGAGTCAAGCCACACTTCAGAGGAAGCTCTAGTCTCAGCCACTTTATCAGAAATCTAATTATTTTTGTCAGGCTCCTTATGAGAAAAAAAGGTGACAGTTGAATTAACTGCATGATAAATTAAAACGAGCTTGATAATAAAATAAGGGCGATAATATTGGTCATTTGTTTTTCGTCATCTCTCTTTCTACCAAAGAGACTGGATGACAAAAAGCTTCACTCCGGTGCCTCTAGCTACGCCTCCGCTCATTTCCTTGGTAATGGCTAAACACACAGGGAGCTAAAAGCATCAGTTTTTCCTAGACACGATAGTGACAAAAGTAGCGTGGCTAGCCAGCGTGTGCACATTTGCGTGTACAAGGGTAGGTGAGCCAGAAATGCATTTTCTTTGCCTTTTAAATATGCTCTTCCATCAAAACATTACTTCAAATGAAATCCTTCTCCATCTATTTATCAAGCTTTCCATCCTCCCAATAACATGACACAGAGGTAACCTCCCTTTTTTTTCCAGTGAGAACTATTTAGTAAAAGTTGCCAAGATGTGCATGCCATAGCAGAGTCTCACAACAAAAAAGGTCAAACTAAAAGGCTAAAAGGTCTAAACTAAAAGGTCAGTTTAGCTTAATTTGATGTTATAACTGTGGTACAGCCTGCCATTATTTGAGAAAACTGATATCAAATCCCAAATTAGCAGAAACTATCTCAAAATTTCCCACAGCACTGCAGTGCAGAGTATAATCCACAACAGCTCAGGAGCAAGGATTGGTGCATCATTCGGTTTATAATTGGCAGACCTGCCGTCTTGCTTTTCATACTGCTGCTTAAGAAAGTATTTTTTCAAACTTTTGTTGTACTCCTTCTCTGTGGAGACGCATTCATATTCCCCATAGTCCTCTGGTCCCATTGAAGGAATAAGGTGCAGACAGTTAGAAAGCATTTGCAGGCACGGTCTGTCGTGACTTCCATGCTTCCAGGTGTACTTTGCATGATAAGACTCTATAGGACAGGACAGATAGAAAGGGACACCTTCGGGGACTGAGTGGACTGTCCCTGAACTCTCTGGTGAACGTATCTGCCTTTTGGACCTGGTCGTTCCCCGTGACTCTGAAAAAACAAAAGAAAAGGCAGCTAGGTAAAGATGTGACAAAGCTGCTATGGTACAGCATGTGGCATTTTATAACTTACCATTCGCTACTTTATTTTGTGAGCAAACACTTTTATGTCCATCTTTTATATTTTGAATGCCACCACTGTGAAAAAATGACAAAAGGCAATTTATATGTCCATACATCATACCAAACGGCACATAACAGACAACCACAGGACAGGTCATAAAAAGAGAAAACCTTTCCACTTGCAAACAGTAATCTGGCTTTTTATGTAGCTTTCAGAATGGATTCTTCCTAGCTGAGTGATCTTTTTGATGTTTGTAAAGCACTTGCTTCTCTGTGGATAATATCTACAACTAGACATTTCTGCTTGCTCGCAATTGTTCCAACTGATGAACATGGCACCTTTAGGGTCCTGGAAATTTTATCGAATTGGGACAACTGCAATTCTCATCTTGACTTTATGCTTGACAAAATGCTTCCAATTAGCTAACTCTCAATAGTCATGATAATATCAGGGCTTTCTCATATTTTTTGAAAAGATATAAAAAGGAATTGCTACACCTGCCTTAGGAGTCAATTAAGCAAGTTTTCTTAAAGGGGGATATTTTACTGCACTGAAAAATAAAAGGTACTCCAACAGTTTGATTTTTCTGAGTTCTAAAATTAGTGTACGACTATCCAATAAAAGATGATATACATCAATACTTATTATCTTTACAAAACAATACTTTTGTTTAGTTTTTTTTCCCCCACTTGATTTTTGATCAAACCCCCCCGACCCCACTAAGGGACAAAGGGTGTACAGAAAATGGATGGACGGATGATTTTTAATCAAGATGTTTACCAAGACTCCAAACAACTCTGATCAGTACTTTTGATTAAGCTTGATGAAGTCTGTGGGAACCAAGACCCCACCAATCCAAACAATGGCTGTTGTAGATCTGTCTGATGAGAACTGAGTGGACATTTTGGACTATTATTAGATATGTGAGGAATAAAGCTTGTACTTACAGGTTAGAAGGGGTGCATCCAGATGTGGTCCATGCACAGTAGGGGTCCCGTGCCAGGACACAGTCAGCACAAGACGCATTGTACACTTTGCACTTTTGAAGGTCCACTGTAGATATTTTATCAGAGAAACCCACCACTAACTTTTTCTGAGAAATATGAAAAAAAAGGTATTTTTTATAAATGCGTGTCATTCAAAATATAGTATACGTAAATGTAAAAATTACATTCATTCTTCCATAGTTTACTATTCTCTTTGATTTTGACTTATGTAAGTGAATCTGAAGCAAGTAACATTCATTTGTGTTTTAAAAATTATTGAAGAAAACTCTCAGTGACCATCCTTTTCATTTCTTTATGTCAGGAAGGTGGATAAGAATAAATAAGTTCTTTGTCACACAGTCTACTTGTACTCTGGTTGCCTTTGACCTTTGTTTAGGCTCACAAAGCCTTGGAATTGTGTTCCCAGTGTATCTCCATTGTTCCTCCCTTCACAGTTTCGAACTGCTTTGCTGAATAAACAAAAGGCAAGAAATGAACTTCTGTCTAACAACTAAGCAATTGTTCCCAATTTTAAATACAAAGCTTTGTTTGTGTCTTTGAGCATCAAACCCCCAACAGGGGTTCTTTGGAGATAGCTGCCAGGTGTAGCAGAGAGTGATAACTGCAATAACAGAGCTGGGACTAATCAAAAACAGAGAGGACAAGGACCAGCAAACCGGGAGCAGATTAAAATGGTTCATTTCTGGTCAACTAACTAAAGCTCTATGGAGAAACACATTTCAGGTTGTATTTTGCACATTTCTCATTATTTTCAAAATGTTAAGCAATTAAACACATTACAAACAATACTGAGGAAAATATTTTTTAACTCAACTGTACCTTTTGAGAGTCAAGCGTCATTGCCTGTATAGATGAAATTTTGGAGATCTGCGTTTCCAATATGATGAAAGGCTCTGAACCAGCCTCTAGGACTTTATGGATTTTGCCAGTATCTGTTGGAACAACCATTACAGTGTTGTTATTCTAGGACGGATACATTTTTAGCCCATTGTTTCCCAGCAGAGATTGTAAATAATGCATAATTCCTGGCCAAGAAAAGGCAAATTGACACAAAGCAACCTTGGCTTACCAGTAGCAAGGAGCAAAACGTTGTACACTTGCTGGTCTGCTCCTTGAACCCGGTCAACAACTATTTTGGTGTAATTATAGTTGCTTACATAAAAAGGAGCTTTTGAATGAAGGGAATGCACCCAGTCAACCATTTCAGGATGATCCTTCACTACGTTCACTGTGGCCCGGGGCAGGCTTTTGCTGTTTGGGACGCACTACAAAAACACAATCATGCAAAAGTTTACTCAAAAAGCCGATGTTTAAGAAAAGGCAACAAAATTACTTGGATCACAAAAAGTAAAACCAAATGAGAGAAAATGTGGAGAGAATTCTTCACCTAATTTACATAGAATCTGAATGGTAACACATGCCAACCACTTCAAGGTTTTAGCAACAATATCACTTGAGTTGGAAACTACCAGATTGTACTCAACACCAAATAATTCCTATGTTTACTGCAACAGTTCCTTGCAAAGTTTTTTAATATTTTTTACTTTTTTTTCTGTCACATTATAAGCCATTTTGATGCACCTTTTTGGCATACAGAAACGCCTTTTACAGCAGATTTGTCTGCTGTAAAAGGCAGACAAACTTTCCCCATGTACATCACATAGTCTCCACAGCACATTATAAAAAAAACTTAGCTCATGACAGAACCCACAATATCCACAACAAATACATGAACACGATGAGGTAAACCTCACATAACTTCCATAGCAACACCCATTTTTGCAACACGCCCATTTTAAATAGCCTTTTGAGAATGACTATTCTCAAAAATACACAGGCAAAAATAAGGAAGAGGAAGTATGAAAATAGATTCTTACAGTTCCAGGCCTTGGTGTAGGGATTTCGTTAGCATATCCTTTGAAAGCTGAGTTTTCAAATATCTTATCTATCATTTCTATTGAATAGATGCAAACCGCAGTTGAGTTCCTGAAAAAGAAATGAGAGGTCATCATACCATTCATGCCATCACAGTTTAAGCGGTTAATCAAATGTTTCATGCTGTGGTGAGGGCAGCTCCATTGTTCTCAAAGAAAAGCTTTGGTAATCTTAAATTTGATGTTTGAGCAACAACTAAAAATAAATATGATGCAACTGCTTCTTATGCCGTTGCTTAGTTTCTAACACACACACACAAAAAACGGAAAAGTGTTGCACCAGCTGCTTGTGAAAAGTGCGTAGACTCTGGTTTGGTGCCAGTCATCGGCGTGCACCACATAGATGTCCTGGAGACGATTGAAAAACAGTGACTCATCAGGAAACCCACAGACGAGGCGAGCCTTTAGGAAAGTCGTCCACATGTTCTGGAAGAATCTTTTTGATCCACCTTCATCGGTCTACAAAAATAATGTCAAAAGACTTTATTAGGAAGAGAATCAGTTTTCTTTTTATTTTGTCCACAGAGAGTTAAATATCTGAGACTGCACCCACTTTAGAGATGAAGTGCAAGAACTGTTCAAGGTTTTTCTTAGCATGGATGATATTACTTCCACACAGCAGTAACATAGGAAGCTGCAATTTGGCTTATGGTAATGGAAGTTAAAAAATCAATCAGTCAAGTTTCTTTGTAGGGCACATTTCTGCAACAAGGCAGTTCAAAGTACTTTACATCATAAAAACACAACAATATCAAGTCATGGAACATGCAGTCAACAATTGAGAAAACCAGCAAACATTGCATGTTGCCGAATGCCATCATTACACATCAAAATGTTGGTCAGCGTCACATTTCTTATGGTTCAGAAGCAACTCTGCACCAGTGAGTTTTAAGTCTAGAATTAAAGGAATTCAGTGTTTCAGCTGTTTTGTAGTTTTCTGGATCTTTATTCCAGATTTGTGGTGCATATTTAATACTGCTTCTCCATGTTTGGTTCTAGTTCCGGGGCTGCAGAGCAGACCAGAACCAGAAGACCTGAGAGGTCTAGAAGGTTCATACAACAACAGCAGATCTTTAATGTATTTTAATGTAGTGTGGTGCCAAGTAGTTCAGTGAATTATAAACCAACAGTATTGTAAAGTCTAATCACTGAGCTACAAAGAGTCAGTGCAAGGACACTGGTGCTGTAATCAACGTGACTAAAGATGAATGCATCGATGTGTTTCTCTAGATCTCACTGAGACATTAGTCCTTTAATCCTGGAAATGTTCTTCAGGCGATAGAAGGCCGACTTTGCAACTGTCTCGATGTGGCTATGAAGTTTCGGGTCTGAGTCCATCACAACACCAAGATTTCAGACCTGATCACTAGTTTTCTAGCAAGTAAACACATCCTGCAGAAAGTGCTCAATTAAGGAACACTTTTTTTGATTATATATATATATACTGTGTCTTAACATGTCGAGACATGGTAGTCTTAACATGTTGCTCAGAAAACCTTAGCACCAGTGTTTTAGTTCCCCTTCTGTTTTTATTTTAGCTTATGATCGAATCGAGGACAGCAACTATCAGCACCACTTATCAACACTGCAACATAACTTGCTGATTACCCAGCAAACAGAAGCTGTGTTTCCACTGTTCCCTATTGAAGGGTAATGTCAACAGCAAACAGTGATGCTGACCTTTGTCATTGAACATGCGGGTTTAAATGTGTCCGTTTTACACAAATTGTTCACCACTCTCAAACTGAAGTGAAAACATACAACACAATTTGGATAGTACAATATAAATGTTATTGAAAATGTAATATAGTGTCTTGCAAAAGTATTCACACCCCTCAACTTAAGATGTTTTTTTTATGATAGACCAATGCAAAGTTGGTGATACCTATGTAGACTAGAAAAACATTGTTTTAATTTTTTGCTTACAAAATTAAAACTTCAGTGTTGCATCAATATAAAGTCAGGTCGACTTAGTCAACACACTGGAACCACCCGTCAATATGCTTTACGTCTGCAACTCTTTTGGGTTATGTCTCAATGAGCTTTGAACATCTATAGACCAAAACGCTATTTTTGCAAAATAGCTTGAGCTCAGTCGGATTGGATGAAAAAAGGAATTTCAAACCCTGCCACAGATTCTCAATCGAGTTTAGGTGAACCATCACCCCAGTCTCAAGTGTTTTGGAATCTTTTTTTGCAGACATTTCCTGTTTTGTGCTCCATTCAGCTTTACGTCAACTCTGACCAGTTTACATTGTTCCTGCTGAGAAAAAAAATAAAGCATTCTCACGGCATGATACTACTTCCACCATAATTCACAGTGGCGATAATGTGCTCAGAATGATGCACACTGGTAGTTTTTCTCTGCACCAAGTATTTTGCATTCAACCCTAAAAGTTAAGTTTTGGTCTCATTTGACCTATGCACATTTTCCAACAAATTAGCTTCTCTGATTTTCTTTCCCTGTCAGTTTGATGGATGAACATGCCAGGCTTGCTGTAGTGCTATGCTGTTTCCATTTTGGTGCGAAGAAGCCAACAGTTCTCTGAAATGTTTGAGGCTTAGGATATTATTTCATAACCTAACCCTACTTTCATTTTCTCTGCACGCGTTTGCTGTGATCCTTGGGTATCAAGATGCTTTTTAATCATTTAATGTTCTCCAACAAACATCACAGAACAGAGGGAGTTTTATTGAAATGAAGAATCCATCAGAATAAATGAGGCTCATTACATATACACAAATCTTCAGACTTCTTTAGAAAAACAAATTGAAAACAATATTTCATGCCACTTTATACATTTGCACAGCTTTGCATTTGTCATATGAATTCCCAATTATGCATTATTAAATTGCAAAATGTAATGAATACTTTAGTGTGCTGGACATGTTTTTGTTTTTTTGTTGCTGGCAAGTCATGCTGCAACAGTATCTTTAATCTTTGTTAATGTGTCCACAATTTATTTGTCGCAAAAATTGAGTTAATCTGACCAAAAGGAACATTTCTTTCTCAAAAATGCAAACTGACCTTGGAAACAGTAGGACTTCGTTCACGGCTCACCTTCTCCACCATTTTGAAGCATCAATGCAAAACTTTGAGCACGTAGCTTTTTGTGTAGACACTGATGTGGTTCAGTCAGTACATTAAAATCTGTCCATTTTAAAAACCTTCTGCTCTCTGAAATGATAGTCATTTCCTCACAGCTTATGAACAGTTTAAAAAGTGTCAATTCTACAGTCGTCACAGCGTTGACAAATTATCTGGTTGTGTTTGAACTGCAATGACAGTATGGCACTGAAACAGAAGCTTTCAATTGGCTAGGTAGCAGTCACATTTGTAGCTCAGCTGTATGCAGTGTGCATTGTACCTTGCAAACTCTGGCCACCCTAGAAATCCAGGGATCGGCGTCTGGGCTGTGGTCAGAGTTCTTTTCGCGGAAGAAGATGTAGATTTTCTCATTGTCCGGATCTTCGCTACGCTTCACCCAGGATGCTGATATGAATGTAGGCTCTGCAAGATGACGTTTTGTTTAAAGCAACCATAAACAGTCTTTATTGACCAGTGGTGAGGCATAACAGTCACAAAAACAAGATATACCACAGCAAAGCAAAGCCAAGCATATGTGGGAAGCACAAGATAAAGTTAAGTTAACCAAAGCAAAAGAAGAAAAAAAAAAAGAACTATTGCCAATTTACTATTTTCAAACTCCTTTTCTTTAATGCCAACAGTTAGGCATAGAAAGTGAGTAATTTTTACAAATGTGGTCTGCTTCACTTAGACTCTACACCAAGATTAATGATGTCTGTGTACAAAAGTCAATCCTCTTTTGACCTTTTCTCATGCACTCTTGTTGCATTTTTTTTAACTGCTTGAGTAACAGTAAACCAAAAATCATAAATTTTGCACAGACTTTTATTTTTATGCAATCATTTTACTTCATAACACACAAGTGGATACTTAATGTTTGACTTCCAGCTTTGAACAGAATTAGATTTGGGACTGTTCTAATTACTCAGACCCCCCACAGCTCAGCAAACATATCCTTTAATGTCATTAGTGTTTGAATCATTAAACTTTATACATTTGACATAACTATTAAAATAGTTAAGTTTTGCAAGGCTGTGTATAAATTATTCATTTGCGCATCACAGTGGTGAGCTCCTCTGTAACATCAAGCCCAATCACTCTCACCCGATAACCATCTGTCGTACATCCAGACATTAGTCCGCTTGCCAGCTTTTCTCCTGAACTGCAAAGAGTTTCCCTCAATGTCCAAAGGCGCTGCTGCGTATAAATCCCCATCTGAAACAGCAGAAATACTGAATTATTCAGAAGCTGTAACAAGACAACCTTGTTACAGCCATTTTAAAACACAACTGGATGTGGTTACGCAAGATGGCATGCAGCACTGAATCTTGTTTAAAACCTTTAAAAATCCGTCCATAACATACCAACTGTGAGCGACAAACAGTTGTGCGTGTAGACCAGTGGGGAGATGCCTGCTCCCTCATAACTCTCCTCTATCTTATAGGTCTGATTCTTCACAGAATGGACCTGCACAGAAGAGGAAAACAAAGACACTTCAAAGGAGCTGTGGTGAAAACTGCATTAGCAAATAATGGATCACCAGACATCCAACACCCTACTTAATTATACATCAAGGATGCAAAGTTTCACAGTAAGAGCAGCTCCCCCCGCTTTACTCAGCTTTGCCTTGTTGTCTCTGCTGAGTCAACAGGTCACAAGAAAACTCCAGTACATTACAGACAGACCTTATCTTTATGCGGATGTTCACATAGACACTTACGAGTTTCCAGCACTTTGGTTTGTGTCCGTTGGTTCCACACACAAACATGCCATCCTGAAACTTCTCAATGACGGTGATTACATTTTTACAGGGACGCTAAAACACACAGTGCAATGTTAAACAAAACTGAGACGGTGTGTTTAGTTTAAATTTAGCTTATGTACATTTCTGCAGGAGTAACTCACGTCAGAGCACTTATGGTGTTCAGTTGTTCTTATTGGAAATTTCTGCCAAGAACATATGTAATAAAAAAATATTTATTCTTTTTGCATTTCAATCAAACATTCCAAGTTTTAACCAACAACATGTCACTCAAAATGCTTCATTGCCACAAGCTAAAAAGAGTGTATCTGAGATCAAGACCTATTCATCATAAAAGTGTGAAGACTATAAGTAATGAGGAAGTGATAAAACACACACACACACACAATATGAGCAGGCCATTTCTTACTATAGCACCCAATATGTGCCAAGATTGAGAATCACTCTTCCTCTTTTAAGAAACTGTGCAGACATCAAGCTAAAAGATAAATCCTGACACTGAGAATATATAGTATATATAGTTTTAGACATGGTGCCGGAGCCAAATAGGGGCAACTTATGAGGTGAGACAGGAGAAATAAAAGCCAGAATTAATTTTAGTGTCATGTTATTTAGGTATGTTACTTTGCATGAATCTAATATTTTGGTCCAAATTTCAGTAATATGTCAGCACCTTTATACCAGATATTAGGTGGTGTTATGTTAGAACATGCTCTTGTAGTCATACTTTTAAAATTGTAGCTGTCATTATAAGTTTTGTTTTTCCAAATATCTTGTCAAAACATAGCAATCTCTAGTTTTGTTATCAAAGTCATCCAAACACACAAATATGGAACAGAAAAAGGATTTAAGGCAGTTTTTAAGTCATCTTCATCTACGTTTTTTCTAATACCTGTGTGTTTCCCTTCAAAGCAGTCAAACTTTCTTGTAATCTTTCAAACTGGATTTCTGTCTTACATACAGTAAAATAGGTCTGGCAGCCTATGGCAATGACCCGAGTATGGGTGGGGCCAGGACTGAGACATTAAAACAGGCATTAAATAGGACAAAAATAAATAATTAAAAAAGTATTTATATAAATGTGCTAAAACGTTGCAATTCATTGAAGCTTTGTCCTGTCTTTAATTCAAGATTTTAGATCAGACTCTGGCCAGAGAGGAGGGTGGCAAACAAAGGGTTGTCAGTGCCCTTGACTCCCTTTCCCTTTGGTGGCGTCAATGCACATGAAGACTGCAGGTGATCAAGTGAAAACTAAAAACTTTAAGCACACAAAAAAATAAGAATTACTCACTTCTATGACGCTATAGTTATTTGCATTGAGTTTTATAACAAAGTCTGTGCCTCCGACAAAAAGCTCCTGTTCTTCCTCCCGGTATGAGAACACAGTATGGGTCTGATTAACTTCATATTTATACTGATCACTGATAATACCTACGGGGAAGAAAAAAACAAAGCAAGAAACCCTGTTATTGACAATGCACAGCAATAGACCATGACGCAGGAATAATAAGCAAGATTAATCGTGTCCTAAATACAGCACTGGCTCACTGGAGGCGCTGAAATTGAATTTTCTCCGTCGAAAAACTCAGGGTTTTAAAAGCTTAATGGTGGTTTACAAATGTCTTACCTGGTATCAAAAGCCTCGGGCTATTTTCAGACCCAAGAGCCGGGGCATCCTTCGAAAAGACCAAATCGAAATACACCGCGAAACAAAGATAAATATGAACGCAAGGCTTCATTTTTGCGCAGTTCTGCTATGGGTGAGGACAGAAATGGTTAACCTCTCCAGTCGCTAAATTTACAACCATTTTCTGTGGAAAGAAATGTTTCAAATGAGAGCCTCCACCTTCCCAGAGGCGTTACGTATTGGTACGTCACGCGATCAGCTTTTTAATGAAGCAAGACGGTGCTTGTGATCAGGCACCGCTCATTCTAAAACAAAAGGGGCAAAAAGCGTTTTCATAATTTATCAAAAACATAAAGACATTTATCTGATAGTATTCAGTGCCTAAGTCCTCAAGAGCTCAAGTGCATACTGCACCTTTTAGATGCACCCCTTCTCAAACACCTGCCATAAAGTCATTACCAGATCTCTGCAGAGCGGAATAATTGCTGCGTGATTCAGGTGTGCTGGAGCAGGAAGGGCGCGTCTGAGAGTTACAAGATGGTATCTCTTGAAGATGAGACTTATTCCCCGCTGATTTTGGGTAAAATCATTTCAACAATATTTTCTGGAGAAAAGGGAGCTAAGATCCGTTTTTCTTCTTCATTTTATGAACTTGTGGTATTTATCATCTGTCTGTCATTCGCCCCCCCCCCTCTTCTTCTACTTAAAAAGATGATGACAACAAGAACGGCAAATATCTGTTATTACTCCAGACGGGTAATCGTTTTGAACCCACAACAACTAGGATCTACATGCAAGAAGAAAATTTAAAATGCAGACCACAATAAATTATGTTCCAGTTGCTGTTAATCCCATGCAACTCTAAGCGAAATAGTCTTTAGCCTTGATGTCTCACAGGGTTTCAAAATGTTGTAGTTTTCTGTAAGTTATTTCCCATATTTGAGAAGAATGAAAACATGACTGCTGCTTATCCATGTTTATTTCTGATTCTGGATATCCAGATTATATTAGAACTATACGATAAGTAGAAGACTACAGCAACAGAGAACATGAAACAGTGTGGATCAGCTGCAGCTGTCTGACTTTTAAGAAATCATTGTGTCAAAAGCACAGATAAATTTGAATGAATGATTTAGGAATGCTTATAGCTTGAATTAGTAATCATGTAACTGTCATGCAAAATGCTTCTTATTATTTACTAAAAATGTACTAACAAAATCAGCAATCCACTCTTAATGTAACACAAGCCTTATATCCCAACGCAGTGTAGGTTTTTGAAATATTTATCTGGTACCTCAAACTTATCTTCCATATTGAAGAACTTTCTATCATTTGTTGTTAATGCATAATATTTTCCCTTAAGTAAAGGGAAATTGAAAATTTTCCCCACTCGCCATTTAGAAATGGAATTAGATACTTAGCAACCCTGAACAGGAGCACTAAGTTTACATACTTTAGAACATTAGATTAGTTTTCTTTCCTCTTTTATTTCTTTTTTCCTTTGGTTTGTTATTTTGTTTGCATTTCCTTTTAATCATGTAAAGCACTTTGAATTGCCTTGTTGCTGAAAATGTGCTACATAAATAAAATTACCTTACCTTGCAATAATATTTGAGAGTGAATCATAAAAAAACCCATCTGCCCCAGACATCCTTCCACTTTTAAACACATCTACATTTTAACAGTCTTTTGTAACAAGTCTTGTGGTTTGTCACTAAAAAAAGCCTGTTGACAAAGTATTTTGATATTTCATTTAAGGAACCATCTGAATCATGCATCACTCTGAAAACTAAGGGTACAAGCTTCTGTCAAATTTTAATTAATCGAGTTTGATGGATTAAAATGCCACGCCCAAATCAAAA